ACACACCACACACACACACACACACACACTACTATATATATATATATATATATATATATATATATATATATGTGTGTTTTTGCAAGTACTAGTAGTGTGAAAATCATTGCGCAATTTTGCGTAGAGCTTTTTAGACATGCCGGGAACGAAAGCAAATATCGTGTACGGCAGAAACTATTAATGTAGACACACTGTCGTTCGCTTAGGAAGCAACGTATGGGCTACGTACGTTGCCAATATTATAAAGGAGTCCTCCCCTGAAAATTCTTCATCAACCAATTCAGCATCCGATACAACCCACTGCTTCAAACTCTTATCGCCGAATGATCGAGAAATAGCCAGCACCCCCTGAACACGCCATACTCCTTTCCAGGCCACAAATCCACCCGCGTCTTTTATCCTCTGGAATTCATCCAGTCTATTCGGTTTATGATCATACGATAGAGGTACCGCTTTACCATCCCGGTACATAACAGCGCGACAATCGCCGGCATTTCCAACAACCAAGGCGTCCTCCGTCAGAAGCGCAACAAGCACACAGGCACCGTCGTGCCAGTTATTCTTTGTGGCGCGGGTCAAGAATTGACTGTCCAGTTTGTTGAAACTGACCTGCAGAGCCGCACCACATGCGCCTATCATCGCATTCCGGTATGCGATCCTGTCTTCTAATTCTTTCACATTTATACGCTCTGCATCCCTACTAGAGGGTTTGGATTCATCTATCCCACTATCCTCTCCGCTATCGTATCCACTATCATTTCCAGTGTCCTCACGAGCCTTGATATTCCCTCCTACCTTAGCTGCTATGTTTTTAGACGTGCTAGCATAGGGTTTTGCACATACGAGATTCCTCCTGATGTTACTCAGTTCCGTGTCCACCATTGTGCCGAGATTCTCCATCACATACTCCGAACATCTCGCACCGGCGTGTCCGTCGAACACACCGAAAAACATAACGTCCGAGTTCTCACTCAAGGGTGCGTGTGCACTATACCTATCTTCTTGGTAAGATCGTTTACCCTTGATAGTGGCTGTACTATAAACTAAGTCCTTCCCCGCTGCCCCTACATATACAGATGGACTCTCAGGACATTTGAGCCTTGGAGGTGCCCATTTATCGCGCGAGTTTGTGCTTTTCTGTTCGGCACGTGCTCCCGGCGACCCTTGTAAGTGTGTATACAGCGCAGCACACGTGGCCATGGAAATTGTGATTCCAGAGGCGCCACGGAATCGGAAAGGCATCTTACTTGAAGTCTAATGCTTCTACTCTAGTTAACACAGAACAATATATGACAAGCAAGCAATAGTGCAATTCACTATGCTTTATTCCTTAATCAAATAAAACAGCTGTCGGCGTGTGCATTTTTCATTTTGTCTATAGATATTTACAATCTATGTACAATACCACAAAGAGAGGAGACAAAAAGGTGTGACTTCATCACATCATAAAGAATTTATTGAAAAAGCAACAACAATAAAAAAAAAGCCGCATCTTCGTTTTCTTCTTCTGCTCGTTTCTATATAGGGTTTGCCGATATTTATGGAAATATTGTCGGTTTGGCCTTTGGGTTTCCTGAATAATATTTTTGGTAAAAATATATAAATAAACAGAAACGAAGAAAAACGCGTGTATTTTATACTATTTTTTAATGAATGCCAAATGGCGAGCTTGGGGTATAAACGATGTGGCAGCGTACAACACAGTGTATCTGAATTAGCTCTTAATCGCGGAGATAGATAGTCTATGCTTACCATACATACAACACAGTGTATTTGAATTAGTCCTTAATCGCGGAGATAGATCGTCTATGCTTACCATACATACAACACAGTGTATCTGAATTAGCCCTTAATCGCGGAGATAGCTCGTCTATGCTTACCATATCAAAGTATGTGTATGAAGTTGTCATTTTTCTCAGATTACCCGCGATAAATCAAGCTCTCACCGGTTAAGTCCCACACAGTGTGTCCCTGCACAACACTATAACCCTGCCTTCAATCCCGAGCACCCGCTCAGCATCATATATCACCCCCGTTGATGCATAATATAGTCAATAATCAGGGCACAGAGTACTGTATCAAACTTCATATCACCATACACTTATCGACGTAGGAGTTAAATTTTTTATCGATACCTCCCTTCTCATGCTCGGAACTGCACTAAACTCTAGCAGCGACCTTAACCTGCATATCCTGTCTGCTACTTTATGAAATACGTTCGCTGGAAGATGAATTAAGGTCCACCACAATTCACTCAGATAGGTTCTTATTGCACTTCGGTTCACTCTCATTCATCCTCAAGTCGCTGGTGTGGCAACTGGGCTCAGCAGAAATGTTTCAAATAACGTACAAAACTCACGAAAAATTGCTACTCTCTTGGAGAGTCAATATGCGCCTCAGGGATATTCACACTGCACTTTATATTTTCTGAGGTGTCTGAACTGACAGATTGACAAAATTATTTACTTTACCTACAGCCCCGTCAGCAACTTCTGTCAAAAAGAAAGCTCACCACGCGAGAATGCAATAAAGTATAATTTGTACAACTGCTAGTATCTAATTTAGTGTCTTTAGGATACTTTGGAGAGTCTGCACGGCATATTTGTTGATGTGATGGTATTGTACGCGTGAAATTCTGTAGAAAATCTCTCACAGGGGTTATCCTTACGAGTAAAGTCTGCTGTAGTGCACGGACAGCTTTCTGGGAAACTATCGATATAAATTGAGACAGTCTCTATTGGTACAATATCACTAACCTTTGTTCATTTTTTTTTTAAATCTGGCGAAGTGTTCGAGAGTAAAGAGGTAAATAAGCCAATGATGTGATGCTCTCGCGCACAGTATATCGATGACATATGCGGAGTTTTGGATAAAAAAATGTGCGCTGTTGTAAGGATTTGAACAGGTGACCGCTTGCATGTCTGCAAAGACATGATTTTATGTTCCTGGCTTTACATATTTCAGTCGAGTTCAAGAGACGCTGTTATTAGAGGTCAGATTCGTTTCAGCCATTTCACAGCAAACAATTAATCGAATCTCTCTAGTATGTCCTTACATATTAGAAGTATTCACAACGATGTTTATATATGTAATTAATACCCCAGATATAAAAATACGCGTGCGGTGTTCTGTGGGTCCTGCGACCTGTCTATTTTTTTTTAATATGCTTTTTTTTCTCTCTGCTTGGAGTCTGCGACTCTGCGGAGAAATGCACAAAATATTCCGATCAAAATTTGTAATTATTTAGGCGGCTATGAAAATTTCGGAAGTTCGGAACCCTACGCGGCTAGAACGTAAACAATCTCTCGTCAATCGACTTTTTAGTGCGAGTCGGCCGTACGGCCGTCGGCCGGTCGTGTGTATTAAAATATGTAAATAAATATTAAGGTAAGTGATAGAAAGACGAATTATAGTATATCGCTGTTAAGCCATCGAAACAATGGTACGTGCAATAAGTGTCAAAATCAAATGTGGCTGTGTGTTCCCACTAAGTTATTCGCTTCTAATCTAAACAGACCAAGATATCATCGCTTTAGCTACAGTTTTCGGGTCTGTACCTCCCGCCTAACATTCCGAGTGTGTCATTTTTTGCATTTCGTCTACCTTCATAGCTTCAGCCTGTAAATTTCGGGCACTGTTACATTGATGCGAAAAAGAGATGTGCAGATTGCCAGGCAGCGTAGTATGAGAAAATGTATTTATAAGTACTGGTATCTTGATATTTACACCGATCAACGGGATGCTAATCGGATTAGTAGTAGTTGCCCATTCAAGCCTTCGTGTCTTAAGTTGAGACACATTAATTGTTCGTATTGAACATATGTATAATACACACACACACACACACACACACACACACACACACACACACACACACACACACACACACACACACACACACACACACACACA